GAACAGTCCGCACGTTAGTATCGCTGCGAGCTTCCACCGGGCTTCTTCCGTACCTTTTCTCGACCTCATTCCCTCCCTCTCTCTACACTCCTCCAGAACTGAAGTCTCGGCCAAGTACAGGCTGCATCCGAGACAGTACGGGATGTCGACTACTGGTGCGAACAAGAGGGCCGCCACAGTGGCGCAACCAATACAGACTCAGAGCCACATCGAGGTGGTGGCCAAACAGTAGCAAAACAACGATGGCGGATCTCTCGAAGGGAAACACCACGAGGAGGGAGAAGTACAGCGGGTTGCCAATAGCACCCCAATGGGCGTGGGCTATCCTGACAAATAGTGATACTGCAGTGAGAAAGGAGAAGGTCTCCACAAATGGTGGAGGAGAAGATCACGCCCCTCATCAACATGTAATATGAGGATGAACCTCCCACTTAAACGCGGGCAGATGCATTGTGTAGCTTTGCGAAGTTGAACCCCCCCCCCCCCCCCCCATTTTTCCTTGTCGTTCTCGCCTCCCGCTTCGTCTCGACTATGCCGACGGCGAGCCGATCCACGAGAAGGACGATGCGGCTACCACTTCAAACAGCAGGTGAGTCTTCCCTCTGCTCTCTCGCTTCCTCCTTACCTGGTTCCCGCTCAGAAACCGGCAATCGGAATCCCACTGGCAGAATGAAAACTGGTCCGTGCGCAGCCCTTGATGCTCATACTGCCCAAACCAGCCCTTTAGGTGCAATTCTGGGTTTTTCCTTCAACTCGCAATGTGCCAAAACCCCAGAATCGCATCTTCGATCCCCTAAATCCCTCAAAAAACAAGCATGAAATGCACTTTCCTTCCTCTTCTTCTTCCTTTCCTCCATGTCTCCGCGCACTCACTTTTCACATACCAACGAAACTGCTAATCTACCGCAATTTCTAACGTCGCCATCTAATTCGCCCGGGGTAAGAACCCCAAAATCGCCTCTTCCCTCGCTCGATTCCGCTAAGGATCGAGCGAGTTATGCTCCTCTAACTACGCCCAAGCCATCACTTTGCCATCTCCATTTTCGAATGCCCCTGGCGCCTGCCCGCGTCTTGGGTCATTCACTTCTCTCCCTTATCTCTTTCCCTGTTCCTCTGCTCCCACTCTACACTTCTTCTTCCTATCTCCGCCCCAGTCTCGTTAGCCTTCTGCTCTTTCTGATGCCTATCTCTCGTTGCTTTCACAGTCTCCCCTCCCCCCGCTGCATGCACCTGGCGCGACTTGGCGCCCAGATTCTATCCCGTCTGTGCCCAACGCTCTTCCCTACTGTGCATGCACCCGGTTTAACTCCGGGTCCGGATTCACCCCTTTTTTTATCTTCCCCTTTTCGGCCTTCGTACTCCGTCGCTCTCCTCTGTTCTTCTGCGCTTCCCCACTGCCTATCTTCCTCCGCCGTGCCTCGCCCGCTACCTGCCTAACGCTGCCCTCGCTCTTCGTCGTGTAGTCCTCCGCCGGCCCGTTCGTCGCAGCGCCCGGTACAGAGCCCGACCGTCTTAGCTAAATCTGAGGGAAATTTTGAAGGGAGCAGCTGGTTCGATTACTCGTTCGCCCCTATACACAAGTCAGACGGGCGATCCGCACGTAGCAGCGGTACTGCGGTCCTCCTCTGGGCGTTCTCTGGCCTGCTCCACCTTTCGGGCCCCTCTCCCCAACAGCCAACCCCCACTCAAATGGTTGGTTACTCAAAACGGCCGGTCGCGGCGCTCCCTGCTGCATAGCCTATCTTGGGTCTAGGTGGACTAAGGCGTGCTGCTCTGGGCGGTGGTAGCAACTAGTCAAATGAGGACTTTGACGACCGGGGTGGAGGGCTCCACATGTGAGCGGCCGCTGCAGCGGCCTTCCCGTAGTGTCCCGGACGGCTCTTCCTAGGCACTGCTTGCCCCTCCCTCAAGTCCGCGCGGCTATGCACACATTCAATTCTCTTGCAGCACACGGTCGGTGGCAGGCCGTATATCCCCAAACGGCCCCCGCCACGCAGGTTCTCTTCCGCCTCGTGCGCTAATTACCTACCGGCTAGCACCCATGTTGAACTTCCCGGTCCAAGCTTTTAAGACGGGCAGATAAAGGAATTTCGCCAGCATCTAGAATGCGCAGAAACCCGAGCGGCCTGTAAAAGGAGGCGTTTGATCAAGGTCATCGACTGCCGTACCAGCCACCCGTGTCTGGCAAGATTGTAGTCGAGCCAGTCCACGGAACCCGACATCTGTCTCGAAACTGGTCACCGGGTCAAAAACATCCGTTAAAAATAAAAGTAAAAATAAATAATGATAATAAATAATAATAAATAATAATAAATAATAATAATAATAAACAATAAAAATAAATATAAACTCGAAGAACACAAGAAAAATTAAACGGACGAAGGGCCCCGCGTCCCACTTGCCTATGGCACTGCGCACACCCTGGCCGCGCAGGATTGTACCCCGCTGTCGACGTACCGCGTACGCCGCTCATTCCGACAACACTCAACTCCTGCTTGTGAGTGTGTCGTCAAGCGGGCGAGGCTGCACTGGTGTGACTTGCAGAAAGCACGCCAAATACCCTTGTAAGGGTATTTGGTACGGCACCGCGAAACAACTTTCCAGATTTCCAAAATTCTTTGCCCTTTTTTTTTTGGCCGGCTGTTTTTTCCATCCCTTTTCCTGTGGGGTCCAACCCTAAGAAGCACAGGCCTGGGTCGTAGGTCCATAACAGAGGCTGTGGTTGTAATTCACTGTAAAAATTGTATGCCAATCAGTGTATAAATTATATGCCCAGCGCTGTAAAAATTGTATGCCAATCACTGTAAAAATTGTATGCCTGATCTGTCGAGAAACTTTTGTCTTGACCATCGCGTTGGACATAAATATGTTATTAAGGCACCAGCACACCATACATGGGCCCGCAGGTGTCAGGCACTGTCAGCATGAAACCCGCACCACTTCAGAGGCCGCCCATTTCCTTTTTCAATGGCGCCGCCAATGTTTTTTTTCAACGATGCCGGGCAGCGCACGCTATGCAGCCCCTTCGGGTCATGCTTGTGGCAACAAGATCATTCTGCAAGGTTTTGGCCGCGTACTTGCGGTTTAAGGCCAGGTTGTTGTAGAGGTGGGATACTAGACCAATGACAGTTATCCAGAGTACTCATTCCTGTTATTGAACTCTTTTTCATTCTTGACAGTAGCCTACAAGAGATGCAATGTGGGGGGGCAGGGGGTCAGACAGCGCCTCTTAACAATAAGAGACTTAGGCACTGGGCAATTTTTTTTAAAAAAAAGGGGTCAGACAGCGCCTCTTCTGAGTCTTCTCCCCCTCCTCCAAGCTCCTGCACTGTACCACCGCTACCGGTAGCCTCGCCGACGGTCGTCGTCGCCTGTCCTTGCTGCTGTGCCAATAAAGTTTAGCCTTGACTGACCGTAGATTAGCACACAGACACAGATAGATGCAAAACATCATTTCATTGATGGTGGTCATGGCTACCATTTTCCCCCGAATACGACGCAGGGAAAGATAACTTTTTTTTTTTTTTTTTTTTTTTCCCCGGTTGGAAGAGGGCCCAATGCCCAAGGCTTTTCCTGGGCAAGCTTGGCGCCCACCACCTAGAGATATTGTAGCGGACCCACCAGGTGTGGTGCTCCGCTAGTGACACATATGGAGATGGAGGAAGAAGGGGGGGGAGCGAGATGGCACAACACAGCTCCCCACGCAAGACTCCAACGCACGTACTCCAAAATGTGCAAATGAAGAATGAGACTGAAAACAGATAATGGCTGGGGTATACCCCAGCGGACTGACGACACTGGACTGGACTGGCTCTTACCGACAGAGGTACCGGCTTGGACTGGCCTACCCCGAATACAACACAGGCCTGTGAGAACAGGCCAAGGGGCTGGTCTCACAGGCCAACCCGAGGTCCGCTACATGATCCTCGGCCTGTGATGGATCGCCTAAATACAAACATGCTTCCGCCAAGAAGCGGAACTCTACGAAAGAAAAGAAAACCTGAGTAGTCTAGGATGCGGAGCAAGCTCCATGCTGAGTCCATGCGATGCAACCTAGGATATAAAATGGCACAAAACAGCAATGTCACATCTAACAGCCTAAGTGAAAGCAGAAGCAACTAACTAACATACATGTCCTAGGAAAGCAAAAACAACTAACTAGCATACATGTCCTAGGAAAGCAGAAGTAGTGACAACTAGATCCTAGAATGTTGGAGGCACTAGTCTCAGTCTGGTAACAACTGACTAGTGTATAAGTCCTAAGAACAGCAAAAGCAGAACAACTAAATCCTAGAAATGTCGGAGGCAGTAGCCTTAGTCTGAGAGCAACAAAGCAATCAACAAGACAACCATATGTCACATGAGAAGTGTGTCGCAAACCAAAGGGTGGGATGGTCTCTGAGGGTGGAGAATGCAGCCTAGGGGTCGAAAACTCCTAAGGGCATCTACGCATAGTGACAGGGGAAAACACATGTCATTAGGCTCAATGAGGGTAAGGAACTGGGAGCGAACAGAACCAATGACCCTAACAGATAGACCATCAGGGCGGGTAATGCTCGACTAAGGGGTGACCGCTATGGAGGGTCAACCATGCAAGGGAACAAGGGGGCCTSGTATACTGGGCGCACCTAGATGAAGCATGCGGGGCTGCCTAACTAGGGCGAGAGGGCCGGCGAAGGGTAGAAAGATGATGGGTAAGGGAATCATGCAAATGACTCCTAAAGTGAGGGAGGTCGGAGCTAGATCCGTAAGATAGGAAGCCAGGGCAATGCTACGGTCTCGATGCCTATGCGTATACCAAGGGAGAGCCCAACTCAGAGGAACTCGGCTAAAGGGAGACCATCATGCGACACAAGCAGGGTATTGTACAGGGTAGAGTGGTAAGAGAGTGGCGACGTCTGAAGTAAGCAGAGCTGATCGTGATGAAGTCCATGAAGCTGCCAATGACGTCCATGATGAGAAGTCTGGAATGTCGTCGAGGAAGAGCCGCAGCGTCGACGAGCTGAAGTAGCAAAACTGATGTGGATGGAGTACTGAGAAGTCAAAGACGTGGGAAGGTAAGTCAGAGTCAATMGTCGTATCGAGCAGGACGRCGACGAGTGCGCTGTGGACGCTCAGAAGCATCCGGCTGTTGCTGAAGGTCTGCCTCAGATGGAGCAGGCTCGACTTCAGCGGTCTCCTCAGCCGGAGGAGAAGGAGGAGGGTTAGTGGGTTGAGGAGGAGCAGTGAACCTAGCACGGCGAGCACGGTCATAGGCACACACCAACATGCGAGCGTGCTGCAAGTGCTCGAGGGGCTCCCAGGTAGCCTCCTCATCAGGGTAACCCTTCCAACGTACGAGATAYTCAACGTGGGGAGGGTTGTCGTCGGTGACTCGGCGACCAATGATGTCTGAAACGAGGAACTCCTCGTGGCCGTCCACCATGATGGGTGGAGGGCGCTCGTATGGTCGTCCAGCGAAACGCTCAGACRGTCTGCGGTAAGGACGCAGTAACGAGACGTGGTAGACATCATGCACACGAGCCTGCCGTAGGTAGTCGGGCAGCTTCACACGAAAGCTGACCGGGCTAGATGCCGTATCAGAACTAACGGGCTGGAGGATGCGGCATGGGCCAAAGAAGCGACGCCGAAACTTGCGAAGCGTGTCCGCTTCAAGCTGTAAGTGGCGGGCATCGATAAGCACATCATCACCGACTTTGAATGGATGATCCATTCTCGATTGGTTCGCACGTGCTGCCATGCGAGTCAGGGAAGCGACGATGTGCTCATGTGCGGTCTTCATAATCGACGTCATGTGTGTAACCCAATCATCCAGCGCGGGATAACTCGTGTCAGGGTGCATCTGGGACGGTCGAAGGACGTCCGCGGGGACACGAGGGTGATAGCCGAGGTCGCAATAGTAAGGCGACATCCCCGTGGCTGGCAAGACGGCGTGGTTGTAGGCTATCTCCGCGTAGGCAAGATGAAGATCCCACTGCTGATCGTCACGAACAATCTTTCGAAGAATATCTCCGAGAGTCCTGTTCGTGATCTCGGTCTGACCATCAGTCTGAGGATGGTAAGACGAGGAGAAGTGGAGCTGAGTGCCGTATACCTCGTGGAGCCGTCGCCAAAATCGGCTGGTAAAGCGCGGGTCACGATCAGATATGATGCTCTGAGGTAAGCCGTGGTCACGCATGACTCGGTCGAACACGATGTCGGCGACCTCACGTGCACTGATGGCATAGCGGCACGGAACAAAGCGTGCACGCTTTGTGAAGCGGTCGACGACGACCAGGATAGCATCATGACCGCGAGGGGTCGAAGGACGAAGAGGACCGATAAAGTCCATCGAGATGGACTGCCAACAACCCTCAGGGATAAGAAGAGGCTGGAGCAAACCATAAGGCAAGTGGTTCGCACTGTTCACCTCCTGACAGGTCGGACACTCTGCGACGTAGTCCTTCACAAAGTCCTTGTGCTTCGCCCAGACGTACAGGCGGCTCACACGAGCCAACGTCTTGTGGAAGCCCATATGACCGGCAGCTGCCTGGTCATGGAACTCTGCTACTGCTCGGACACGTAGCTGTCCAGTGGAGGGAACACAAATACGGGGCTCTCTGGTGCCTTGTGAACCGTGCCAGTACACAAGACCGTTGTCCCCAAGAGAGTAGTTCGGGACGGTCTTGCCACTCCGAAGGGTCGCGTGGATGTCGCGATAGTCGGGGCAGTGGCGGTACCGAGTGCGAAACTCATCGATCACCGAGTGGTGGACGGTGGTGACCGAGATGGAAGAGAGTTGGATGTGCTCCTGGTCGTGGTCAGGGCGCCGGGATAAGGCATCTGCGACCCAATTAGTTTCACCCTTGATGTGCTCAGTGGTGAAACTAAACTCGGATAGGTCGCGCCACTAACGAACCTGTCGAGGAGTGAGCTTCGGTTTTGTCAGAAAAGCCTGGACAACAGAGTTGTCTGTACGCACCGTGAATGGTGCCCCGTACAGGTAGTGACGCCAGTGCCGAGCGGCATAAACTACTGCGAGAACCTCACGTTCATCAGCGGTGTAGTTTATCTCGGCGGGCAGGAGCTGACAGGAGTAGAAGGCTACCGGACAATCACCTGAGCGAGACTCGACAGTGCCGTCCTCGGCGATGGTAGGAGAATAGTCAATAGAAGGCTCGTCAGTAGCTGGACGAGTAGGCGTCAGTCAGGAAGCAGTGGTAGGGGTAGGTGGTGGGAAGCGAGGGATACAAGGATGAGAGGAATCGGGAGAGGAGGGGAAGACCTGAGAAAGCACTGCTCCTACAGCGAAGTCTGACGCATCGGTGGTAAGGATAAAAGGGCGGTCAAAATGGGGTAGGTGAAGAACCGGTGCGCATGTCACCGCCTTCTTGAGGGCGCGGAAGGCGTCCTCGTGGAGGGGTGTCCAAGCCCATGGTGGGTTCTTCCGGAGGAGGGTGGAGGTAAGGACATAGGAATACCTAGCGTATCCCCGGGTGAAGTTACTATAGTAGCTGGTCAGGCCTAGGAAGCTGCGAAGCTGCTTGGCGGATGTGGGGGCAGGCCACTCCACATTAGCAGTGATCGTCGCGTCGTCCATGTGGAGACCCTGATCAGACACGTAGTGTCCTAAGAAATCCATTTTGTGCTGGGCAAAGCGGCACTTGCTCAGCTTGGCGTAGAAGCCATGTCTGCGCAAGCGATCAAGGACGTCGCGGAGGTGTCTGAGGTTCTCCTCGAGGGTACGACTGTAGACGAGGATATCGTCGAGGTAGACGAGAACGTACTGCTCTAGGATGTCCCTGAAGATGTCGTTCATCGCCCTCCGGAAGGTGGCGGGTGCATTGGTAAGGCCGAATGGCATCACCGTAAACTCTTAGTGGCGGAAGCGCGATCGGAACGCTGTCTTCGGCTGGTCGGCTGCAGCGACGCGGATCTGATGGTAACCGCTACGAAGATCAATCTTCGTAAAGAAGCGGTTGCCTGCTAGGCGGTCGAACAGCTCAGCGACGCGGATCTGATGGTAACCGCTACGAAGATCAATCTTCGTAAAGAAGCGGTTGCCTGCTAGGCGGTCGAACAGCTCATCGGAACGAGGCATGGGGTAGCTGTTCTTAACCGTGTAGCGGTTGAGACCGCGATAGTCGATGCAGAGACGGAGAGTTCCATCCGCTTTGCGAGCAAAGAGGACGGGTGCACCCCACGGGGAGTTGCTGGGCTTAATGAAACCCAGTCTCAGGAGCTCCTCAAGCTGATCCTTGAGTTCGGTGGCCTCGGGAATCGAGAGTCGGTAGGGTGCCTGGTGGTGAACACGAAAGTCAGGCACAAGCTGAATGGAGTGTTCGACGTCACGCATCGGTGGGATGCCGGCGTACGAGAACGACGATGGGAAAACGTCGTGGTACTCTCGGATGAGGTCACGAACGGCGGGCTCCAGGTCAGCCGTATATCGTGCGAGTTCCTCAGCGTCAGCGTCAGCGCCCGACGGCGGGGTGGACTCGATGGACGGCGGAGGGACGGAAGTAGAGATGGGAGCCATGGAGATAGAGGGAGGATCTGGCTCCAAAGGGATGAGCTCGGCGTCGGGACAGGGTGGAT